GAGCTGCTCTCCTGCAAAATTGAAAACTGGTGGACAGTTTTCAAGACGGTACTTTCTTTATAGTAAACATATGTACCCATAAACCAATTTTGACAGGAAACAGAAGCATGGTTTAGAAGCTATTTTTGTGCATATTTCAAACTACAGTGTCCATAAAAATAACAGTGTCCTTAATTCCGAACAATAGCAACATCATCAATCATTAATTTAGATAGTGTAAGGGAAATACTTTGCAATAATAGACTATTTTACATCTTGTTCATTCAAAATAGTACGGTATATGATATCTTTCTTGAAAAGCAGAGTTTAAAATCTGTTTTATTAAATTCTCGTTTCCTACATGATTATAATTACAAAGCTGTCTTTGTGATTCTGCTATGTGTAACAGTTGCTAGGGACACACCCATGTAATGTGTAATAGTTGCTAGGGACACACCCACCTCTCCCCTGTGATGAATGATGACACTATGCATCTAGTAGTGAAGTTTATTTATTTTGGGTTGCTTGAAATCGCTTGTATGCATAAAATGAGGTCATGTGTTCACCTTTTTGGGCCTAGTTTACGCACAAATGAATATTTCACTTGTATCACGTATAGTATGATATTCACAGCTTTATATCGTTTGCCATAAGTGAGGTCGTGATTACTGGGATATAATATTATAAAATTATTTAAAGCATGTACACACCAAATAAGACAGTGGTTTGATTATATATGAAAACATTGTAATCTTCTTACTGAATCAAGTCTAGCCAACAATGTGCCCTCTATATCGGTTTCTTAGATGCACAAAAATCATTTAAAACATTCCAACAACTCATTTGGTCTAAAAGCTAACATAACTCCATACCTACATGCAACATTTTGAACTCATAATGATATTCTTCAAAAATTATAGCAACCGATTCAGTTGAAACTATAGGTTGTTATTTAGGAAAACAGTCCATTCACTGTGACTGTGTTCATGTCGTAATTCGTATGTTATGATAAGTAGAACCACATCTGTTCATGTACTTGAATGTAAGTTATGTAGTTGTTACATTGACTGGCTATCGTTATTAAATATAACATTACACTTCCGATGGACACCTGCGAGTTTGATTTAGTAACATAATTAATAGAAGAACACATCTGGCGAACAATACTGGTTCAATGTCATAAACAGACAACATTAACAACCGAACTCATGCAGTGTGACCGTCAAATAGACAGATAAACTATGATGTCAAACATTTTCTTTACTCGCAGTTTTCGGTAAGTCAAAAAACAATAATAAGCTATATGCAGTTCTAATAATAATTGAGTTATACACGTTTAACATCAACTTTATATATCTACGTTTTCGCCAATCCTCATTGGAAATATTGATAAAATCGCAAACACTCGTATTACACTTTACAGCGTCGTCGAAATAACAACTTGTCATTGATTGGCTAAGAAGTTAAGGCCAATGAGCAAAAGGAGAAAACAATCAAAATGTATTTTTAGAAGAAAAGTGAAATTGCAAAGGTTAGTTTATTTTCATAAATAAAATAAAATTTTCAAATACAAAACCATTTTCAAATGTAAAAGTAAGATTGCAAATGTAAATCTATTTTCAAGTGAAATTACAAATATATAAGTTGAATTCAGATTTTAATTGTTGCTTATGCTTTCAGGTTTGATGTTAATACTAATTGTGATATAAACAAAGCAATTTTAAAATGCACATACAAATGTTATTCATGAATGCGTGAAATAACCTGGCACTTTTCAAAATACCTAAACATTCCTCTCCTTGAACGTACCTACATAGTTGAAAGTTGAAGCTATTGTAATTATTCATCGAACGAAATGTTCTATAACCCACAAACATTTTACCTTGATTTACCAGATATTTCATGTACTCATTTTTAAAACTAGAAATCGTTGTGATCAGGACCCCTTATGACGTTCAGTTATATCGCAAAATGTTAAATTAATTTGAAATATAATGTTCTAAATTGGTTACGGTGGTTTGCGCTGTTCACCCCGCCGCTTTCGCGAACATCCGGGCATTCTGTTTGATCACTCGTTCTCAGTCGAACGTGAAACGACAATTAAAATAATTCCAATTGCACAAAATATAGAGTTGGGGTTCATAAACAGCTATAAGTACAACATTAAAGCAGACCGTGGTCGTGCATATTTGACGATTCAAAGAAATTGTAGTTATATTTTACTCTATGATCTGAAGAACCGCGTGTCCAAATACATTTAATGTTACTGAGGCGGCAATTTTATTACATGCACAGGTGTTTAAGTTTAATACATGTCCCATTACAGCTCCTCTGTTTAATTGCGTTTTACATTTAATTAATTATCATAACTCTTTTTTGTGGATCACAAAGCAGACAGGATTTATACTGTAATCGAGGTTACAATTTTTCCCATCGATACGTGAAAGAGTCTAAAAACAGAATTTTAAAATTAGGTTTTGACCAATTTTTAGACTTTTTAAATAAGGACAGTAGAAATATTATATTACGTCAAATGATAACATAAACTGTGCCTGGCAGGTACGTGCCACACTTGAAGTTGAAACACAGTATTTTCTGGAAATGAAATTTAAAATGTGTTATTAAACCTCGCCATACAATCACTAGAGCTGAGCAGAATGGTATTATGTTATATAAATTCAAATGGAAGAGGCAAATACATATATCTGGGTAATTTAAAAATACAATTCAATAGAAAGTTTGAATTTCAAATAAAATCATGTTAAACAATCATGCATTTCCAGTAATGCAGCAACATTTGAATTATTGACGAATATAATTAAATATTAACAACAATTAAGTGCCAGACTGCGTATATGTAACAAGAAATGTACATGGATTCCGTGTGTTGATTACGTATAATGCATTTTATCTCCAGGCCCTCAAGGTAGTTAATCAATAAGTCTCATATTGTACCATTTCGCGAGTCCCGACCTTCCCGTGTCGCCTACTACTCGTGAATGATAGAATATTGTGGGAACAAACATACTGGACGGGTGGTTACGCAAGATTATTTATAGCTGGTTACTGAAAGTTTTGCACTTGAACATTTATTATACATCTGATCAGGGAGGAGCAATCACATTTGTTCTTCCATTACTACACTACAGTTATGGAGTTCTTCCCCACTTTCAAACTAATGTACGCTTACTTAGGTTACAATAGATCAGTTTGTCGTCACAGATGCGAAACACACACGTCAAACGTCTTTTAATAGCATCCTTAGCAAAAGTTTCTTTTACACAATTTGTTGATTTTTTTCTGTCAATACATTGTATTAGAAAAGTAGGAATTATTTACTGCACAATTTATAACGCGTATACATTTGGACAGGATGTATTTAATTGGATTTATAACGCATTAAATTTATCATAACGTGAAAAATGATGATTGCGTGAGCAAAGCAAATATATGTTGAAAGTAAATTAAAAATTCGAAAAATACACAAGCGGAACAACACTAATAATCGTTATATTCGGTTAATGCGAATATACAACTAAACAGTCGTATCAGCAAAATAACATCGGAATATAGATTCCATTAATAGCATACTAGGAATCATTTCTTATTACTCAACATACAGTATATTGTGTTATTTCTTCGAGTTATTTAGTTACGGAAGTGGACTGGTATAGTTCGACATGTCAGCAAATTACATTCCAATATTGTAAAACACATACAGTGTGTTTTACAGCAATCGAAGTTGGCAGAATTAAATCTTTTCAATCATCGATTTGAACATAAAGTCACGATGATGATTGTATCATCATAGATGAATATATGATGCGTTTTATGTTGAAACTATTTATAAACGGAATTACATCATCAATCAGAATATATCACGCCAAATATAACGAACATCCAAATCACAGAATGTAATAAAGCGTGTGTTATTTGACAACGAAAATAAATTCATTGTAAATCATTCGATTACTGTCGAATAAACGTATTCCCAAGCGACGTTTGTTCGGTATGGTTTCCATGTGAAGTTCTGTGGCATAATGCGTGTGTTTACACTCATATATAAAATAGTTCAAAATGAGTATATGATCCATTTGATATACGACATTTTCTTTATTTGCTGTAATTTATTGCGACAGTATTTGTTATACAAGGGCAAATGTCAAATGTTTTACATTTATTTGTAATCCCGGAACACATCAAAAACACATTAGTGATGAAAATGAGGTGAAAGTTTAAATTAGTTCGGAAAATTACGATGTGTTTGTTATTTCGTTAACAATTTCTTATTAATAACAATGGCATCTGACTATAAACCCATTTAGTGTTGCGCTTCGCGGATGGTTGCGTATAGTTAAATAAGAATAGATTACCTCATTTCAAACGGCCCAGCAGTTTGTTGTGTCATAACTTAACTTTTACAATGAAACCTTTATTATATCTTTATTATATCATACAACGTTAATACAAAAAATAACGATTGACTATGACTTGTTTAGAATTACAACTTTTTACATGTGTAAAACTTTTATATATTAAATCAGTTCTTAATGGTGTTGTTGCAGGAATAGATTAATACACTTCGAATAAAGATGGTTTGCAATTATCAATCCTGTCTCGAAAATAAAAAAAAATATAAATATATAATAAAGCCTAATAAAGAAAATTGTGTTTGAATTATTTGACATGCTTAGTAATATAATAAATGCAACAGTTGCAGCTTTAATAACAATATATCCGCAGGGTTTCCTGCCATCTGAACACGTGCATTTTCTTAGATTAAGTTGTGACCGAGTTTTAGCGTCTTAGGTATCACCAAGTCACCGAAACACCATGTTTTACCAGTTGAAAAACAGTAATTTGTACAAATAAATAACATTACTTGTTGTAATTTCTCAATTAAAACATTTGTTTGATAACTATCTATATTTTATTTTTAGGTTCTGAAAATGGTACTTGTTGTGATTGTTGCTTTTTTTGTCTGCTGGATCCCTTTACACAGCATACGTTTAATCACCATGTTAAATCCGTCGGTTCTGGAAGTTGATGGTTCAGGGCCCACCGTTGTGCGACTATATTTTACATTTCACTGGTTAGCCATGGCGCATAGCTGTGTGAATCCAATGATATATGCATTTCTTAATAAGAAATTTCGAGTAAGTCGTACATGGCGTCCTTTCTACTTTTCCTTTTCTTATATTAGGAATTATATATTTCTTGTTAAACACATTTTACGGATACAAGAAAAGTATATTTATTATCTATATAATCTCAATAACCCTTTTTCTTGAGTGTCGAATTACGTCAATAATTAAGGGTACATGCAAACGACATGTGGGAAACCCAGGTTACACTGTAGAGGGTATAGGGCTTATGTGTACGATTTGAAACAAAATTGACTTTAAATTGTCAGCAAAAGGTCAAGGAAAGTAGAAAAAATAAATCATTATTTAGCTTATATACAAATTCACAGACTTCCATTCATAGTCATCTGGCGTACAAATGATAATAAAATAAATGCGAATCATTTACTGCAGTCTACTCTATGTGGCAGCCATTTTGAATACGGCTTGATATTAAATGAAGAGACAAATTGAGAAACGGGATTTTTAGATTCCTACAAATCAGACTAAAAATACTAAACTTTCACAACCAAACGATTCATTTGGGCAACTTTAAGCCAACCGTTAACACAATTCGGCGGATTTCGTCGTTGTTGTTGAAACGAACACCTAATTAAATGAACCCAGAACACTTTCCCTGGGTATTTGAAACCGATATCGTTTCCAGTATGTGTAAACTACATCATTCACACTGTAACGTGTTTCTAACATTATTGTATTTCAGGTGGATCTGGCCCACAAGTGTTGTTGCGAAAGAGAACAATCACACAGTTTCTTTCAGAGCAAAAAGGAGACAATGGGTCAATCTTCAGTCATGCAGACAGGTAATGTGTACTCTCTGCAAAAGTTATCACTGCGTCGTGCATCCAATAAAAAGAAGTCCCATGTCAAACATGATGAATATGACAGCAACACAGACTCAACAAAAAGCAAACGGGGGAATTCACAGTTGGAAATTGATAAATATGGCGGCAGTACAGAATCAAATAATAGTGAACGGAAGAGTGCACAGTTGGAAATTGATAAACATGTCGGCAACACGGAATCAACCAAGAGCGAGTGGGGGAATTTACAGTTAGACATTGATACACGTGGAGGCAATACACAGTCAATGAACAATGAAATAAGGAATGAACAAGTGTAATCGGGTAACATGGCAACAGTCTATCCTAACAGTAAATAATTACATGGCGGTAACTAAAACACCTGGTCAACAATAAACGAGACATGAATTAATTAGATTCAGCCACACTGGTCCTGTAACATTGGTAATGCTTGTTCAGCTGTGTCTCGAATTTCTTGGTTATTCTATATATTAAGTAAAATAGTTTAAAATTCAGTCAAGCAATCTCTTGCAAAAAGTGATATTTCACATTCGACACCGGCGCATTCTAATTTTAGGATGAAGCTCAATGTACATTTAAAATCCCATAAATACTACGGTTATACATATATAAACCAACCGACCAACCAACAACAGACGGAATATCGTGCAGTTGGCATATCATAAACCAACAACGAATGGAATATCGCGCAATGCACAACCAACAACCAGCAATGAAAAACAAAACAAGGCATAATTGGAATTAAAATATAACACCAGACCAACCGACATGAACAGGGCAATGGGCAGTTAGAATATGATAAACATGGCAGGTGCACCAACCAACCAAAATAAAAAATAAATACGATAGACGTGGCGGTATTTCATTACGAACACAGGTGGGAACTGATAAACATGGCGGCCCTGCACGACCTACCAAATGGGTACAATGTATCAGGTGACTGGGCAACTGGAATGTGATGAAAATTACGTGATAATAAAACCCAAAATAAAGTGAGTGACCCAGACGCTTGCGAAATTTCATATATTAAATATATTTCCGAAACAAAACATATTAACGCATTCTGGAGATACATGGCGACACAGAGCCACAACGGAATGACAATATAGCGACAAAGCCCGATAAGCATTGACTCTATTCATAATTTCATATATTATAATCTCGTATTGATGCATAATTATTACCTTGCTCATCTTGCTCGTATTAATCGTTTGTTGTACAATAATAAGATGAATTATCTGGTTTCGATTCAGAAACCCTTTTGTCACAAAACGTATATTCAAGTTTTCATTTACTACTAAATATTGCATATCATTGTGGTTGTAGATATTAACTTATTTGCACAAATCGGTATCAGTCACTGTTACTGTTGCAAAGTAACTATATGATATATGAAATGATAGAAGATTAATTCACGTGAATGTCGCAAAAACGCAAAATAAAAACAGAAATATTGAAGAAAATAAAAAAAGGTTTATTTATCCTAGTGTCATTTCATATTTACTCGGCGTGTAATACGTGTTTTATTAGGGCGATATCCCTGGGCGTTCTGTGTTGCCATTGGTCATAAATAAGTTCGCGCACATAATAGGAGTTTTATCGCACATCAATGTTCATGAATGTATATAGAATGTAATATTATATATCCCTGATCATAAAGTACATGTTAAATATTCATTTTTCAATGTATGTTATTGTATGGTCGTTTTTCATTCTTGTTTTTTATGGTAGGTAATATTATTTAAAGATAACCACGCTAGTATAATGGAATTCAATGTATCATTTTACTACCTTTTCATAATCAACGTTCTCATATGGTTCACTAATAATACATAGTTAAACTGTAATGCACCATTAAATGTATTGTGAGATGAATAAAAGCACATTAACTTGCCAATGTGATCACTGGACAAATAAAGTACTCTTTTATGGTTCATTAAATTAATGCGAGAAAGATGACGGTGTGTAGGATTCATGTGAATTATTAGTCTTTTGATGTAATGCTCATCACATTTTAGAGTGAATCTATTATCTCCTAACATTTCACGACAATATAATCAGCAATTCCTTTTTGCCTGTTCCTGTTGTTTCTTCAAAGAGAAGACATATCACATCGTAAAAATGATTAATTTTGTAAATATTATAACAAATGTATTCAATACGTATATGGCCAACAAATGCAGACAGTGGGGTCACGACAACACAACGAAATAAGTACAACGAATGACAAGTTTCAGTTTCCTCTAGTGTTATGAGCATGTGTACATATAGAATCTGTGGTTTGATTTAGTTTGTTTGTGTGTGCAGGACAACAGGTAGCATAAATTACCGATTGAGCTCTTATCGTAGAAAGACATAGATATCACAGTAATAAGGCAGTTTTCATGAACAAGTCGTAATATTATTTTCATCAAAAATGCCAAAAATATTAGCTGGAATAAATGATATCGTCACGAAATGAATAAATATCTATTATGAAAATTTAGACCTTCCTGGAAAGTTTGTGGTCAAGTCGCTATTATTTTACAGCAAAGTCTTCTTGCAACGAAGAGTAATTTTGATGCCGATTCACAGACAGGTTTTGCATGTAAATTAGCTTTGATGTGGAATCAACTGAATTTGCTATGACACAAGCTTCCTTCAAAGTAACATTATTTCCTGCAAAGCTCCACTAACAAGTCTTTCTTGCAAAGTCACTGATAATGATATTGAGATTACCAGGAAGGTCATATGCAGCCATGATTTCAAAACATTGCACTAAAAATATCTCAAAATGTGACGGTTCTTCAATCTAAAATGAAAAATCAAAGAACAGCAGACAACGTGATGAAAGATAATATCAGGTAGGTAATGCAACATTTATTATTCATTTTCATAAATACAACATAACTATTCGGACATTGGAGTAATTTCGGTTCAACGTCACTAAGACTTATTTTTTGAACAAATTAAAATGTTAAGAAACTTCAACCATGGTAAGTCGCTTTTTATATATTCAAACAAGTGAAACTTGTTTTGAAATTTGGAGGAAGTTCACTATAATCCGTATAATTGTCCGACAAATCAAATATAATGGCGTTCTTGAAGCGCTTGGTATTTTGGCGTGTAGGGGGAGAAGTGTGCAGGTTAATCAAGCGTGATTGATCCACTAGATGTTAAAACCTATGAGTGTGTGTGAGCGTTACCGATAGTGCCGATAAACCTGGATTGTGTGGCGTAGTATCAGGACTAATTACCTACACACAAGTTTCAATGATAACTATCTATTTAGGCTTTGCTAATTGCTAATTTTATGAATATTCCGCCACTATTTCGAACACTTTTTTAAACGACTTCTTCTCAAAAACGGCTGCATCATTTGGGCTTTTCCTATTTTTTTATTAGTCATGTGGTTCGGCAGTCATATTGGATTTGGTAAAACCCAAAGGTGCTTAATTACACCATATCTTGGATTTCATAATTTACTGAAATTGACCGATTACTCGTGATCTATTCAAGTGTCATCTACTCTACTAGTAGAAATTACTCTGTGAAAATCAGGTTCCTAGATTCCACGTGGTTTGGCAAACGTAATTTTTGTGAATATAGTCTTTTTTCGATTTGAATGTTTCACTTGCATAATTGGTATTGACGACAGTAATTTTGTTGGCCATTAAACACGCTATCCAAATCCCATCTTTCTTTTCACGAAACCCAGTCGTTCTGGAGAAAAATATTTCTAAATATTTTATCACATTTGTTTTTGTATTGTGCAATGCAGTATGATAAAGGTGGAGGGCCCAGTACACACTGTATTACATGTCTTCATCCACCCGCCAATCAAACACACACTTTAGAATAGGAACTTCCGGGGATTTTTGCGGTCCAGTGAGCCATGTACAAGCCGGCGTCAATAGCAACAGAGAGGTCCAATGATCAAAGAAATTCCCGGAACTACTTTCGTTTGCTTGGGGAAACTTTAGACTTGTGGAGTAGTTCTTATCGCGAAGACAGCGATCCAAATTACACTTCATGTTGGCGAGGGAAGCTAGCTCATATCCGTGGGAGGCGCCGAGATTCTCCGGTATTCTGAGTTAGCCACTCGGTACAGCGACGGACATCACATTCGGTGGTTGTAACGGTACTTTGCTTCTGGTGTGCTTTTATAAAATCGACTGGTACTTCATTTTCTAGTGCTGGTCCAAAAATGTCATCAAGTTGGTCCAGTCCCATGAACCGCAACCTCTGCATAATATCCATTTCGTCTGCTGCAGCCACCATCGTCTGCAGGTTGTCAAGGAAGCCGGTTAACAGGATGCGTAAAAATATCCATCCGCAGTGCCAAACTTATCGATTAACGCGATTGCATGCAAAACTTTGTTGCTGCTTATGAACAAACAAGAATTACCTTTAAACATTAAGATATAAATCCTATATTCTTTATGTTTTTAAAGGCATGTAATAAAAATATCACAGCCCGAAAATGGGCGTTAGTGCCCTCGCCCAAAGAGATCATTTGCCCGGAAAATTATCACCTGCGCTCGTGCACAAACTAAGGCAATACTATATATATATATATATATATAGTATTGCCTTATTTTCTATGCTACGTACTAATGTATAAAATAGGATCCATACTAGTACATCGTCCGCTTGAACGGCTTTGTTCCGTTCGGACATACCTCCCTCCACAACTCCATTCATAACCGTGTATGTCACGTGGTTGTGCGACCGACCAATATACAGCTTTGTTACAAATGACTGCTAAAAACACTTGAAATTTTGCATTCTGACGTCTTCATGTTCGGCTTCATTTTTGCCGATATATTGCCGTGACATCGTGAAAACAACGAACACATCAGACATGGATATAGTTTTAGTCTGAATACATATGGGATGTATGATCGATATTCAAGCCAACACAGCTTCAACTGTACGCAACATATTTGGTTTGATAGTTTGGTCAACCAATTTGATTCTAAACTGGGAGGGTAGTGTCCATACACATAGTCTTAATGAAATACTTCAATGTGATAGTGATTTGCCGGAACATTCACTTTGAATATTCAAGATGTGATAGTATAATGAATTTCAATATATCAAGTATCTATTTGTCTAGATGTAAGCAATGTTCGCATCTAGTTCACTGATAATTTATATTTAAACTAATGTACCTAATAAATGTAATGCAAGATGAATAAAACCAGATTGACTTGTCAATGAATTCACCAGACTAGTACTTTTATAGTGCAATAGAGCAAGTATGGCTGAAGGCAGTGGAGTCATGTAAGAAAGGTGTTGGGGTTGAATGAATACATAC